TTTCTGTAAATTTTTGTGTAGCAATCTTAACTGATCACGGACCATCTTTGATAACAAATCTCTATGATACTTAATTAGATGAAAGAAATTAGCTGGAATCTGATATAAACATACCTGGAATCTCTTGAACAGACGTGTAAATTTCTTCCATGGACTATAAAATAATAATATAATATTATAGTACAGTATTTAATGAACTGAGCTATAAGCAGTCTTAAGTTTTCTTTATATAAAACTGTATTGATTCAGGAGCTTATTTAAAATAAAACTGTCACTCTTTTTCTTTTCTATTTTTTTTCTTGGCTCAGACTTGGCACTTTCCTTGATGCTGCTTTAGTCAGCTTTACCGAATAACTTGCTTAAGTTAACTCTTAGTTTGCGCTCTCTTCTGGCTTGAATGTGAAAATTAGTTTTTTTTTTTTTTTTTAGGGGAAAAAAGATCAAATTAAGTTTTATTGTGCTTTTCTTATATATATATATATATCTATATATAGTCGACCAATTTTTACTTTCGTTGGAACAAGGCAGTTCATCCCCCACTTTTTTTCTCGCTGCCAAAATTTCTTCAATGCATTACCAAGTCATCTTTCATTTTCGTTTTCTCTGTTACTCTAGATTTATTTCTTGTAGAGAAATTTATGCCATGAATTTGCAACCATATATTTTAGAAACTTCTACTTTTTGAATATGTTATGTTACGCAACTCTTAAATATTCTCAAGATAGAACACTCCTACATGCAATGTGGTCCAATTTTTTCCTTCTTTTTTTTTTCTCAAGAAATCTCTCAAGGCTACCAACATCGTACCTCAAGCACTACTTGCATTTTGTGACATCAATCTTTTTCCCTCTTTTATTCAAAAAATAATAATTGTAATCCTTTTACTAAACAATCTAGAATTTAAGTGAACAATATATATATATATATATACTGGCTAGCTATTGTCACAAAATCATGAACTCAAATTCCAACAATTTGATCACTACCTTGCACATTGGTTAAGGCTCAAGACATAAAAATCTGTCCCCATATTATGACCAGCAATGGCCTTGCTGGCTTTGTAATTTGTATGCATACTGAACGAGCATACAAACACCATTATTTTCATATATATACAGATACATATATCTTTGCTAAAAAGCTGTAATTAACACATGATCATCATAATTCATAAACACGGTTTATTGAAAGCTTAATTATAAGCTTGCTGTCAAACAAAGCCTACAAATATAAATATATATATATATATGATCCTGACAGTACAAGCTAGTAAGAAATTAGACAACTGTAATTGCTAACCAAAATCGTACTATACCATTACCAACTGGTTTTCCACATGTTGAAGTCCAAACACACACACACATATATATTTACGTATGTATGTGTTTGTATATATGTGCTAAGTTATGGCCATTTGAATGTGATGGGAAAGTGGTGGAAAGAGGCAAAACATGTGGGGGATATAATACAAAGTTCCTTAATAAGAAAGCACCATGAACAAGCGTGGTTATGGGGTATCTAATAAACTATATATGGGATTCAAAGGCTTAGAGATAAGATAAAAATATATAGATATATATGTTGAGTCTTTCACAGGCAACGGCATTGTAAATCACAAGAACTTCACGTGCAACTCTGACGTTTCTTTCTCGTTCAGTATTACTACAACAACTACTAATGCTTTTTTCTTTCTTTCCTTTTTTTTTTTCTTTTTTAAAAACGTATAAAACAGTACAACAAAGCACATCATGAGACACATGAGCTACGAAACTAAACCTGGGAAGAAAGTTAAAAAGACTTTGATTACAGTGCTTTTTCAGACATTAAAATTATCACTCATTGTCAATATATATAGTTTTCCTCCATTTGAATTCCCAAAGCCTTGGGTGTCTTGTACTCCACCATGAGAATATGCTTTTGAAATGCATGACTTTCCTTAAAAAAAAAAAAAAAAAAAGGAGGCTCTTCTAGGCATGCCCTAGAGTGCATTGTGACATACAGGAAATTAGTAGAACAAAACAAGTCCTAATTTGATATCTAAAAGTGTTTGTTTTTTTTTTTTTTCCCTTCAAAAAAGTTACAAAAATAGGAGGTGGCATACTCAAACAATTTTGTGGTAACAATGGGTTCTCTTGCGACATATGAATCCATCACGAAGTAAATTGTCCTCTACCCCATCTAATACGGTGGAACTAACTCAAACGTTAAATTAGTAACTTTGTCGAGAAAAATGAGCAGCCTTATCATCCTGTAATTAAACTTGATCATCTAGTATATATAGTCAAGCCAATATTATTTCCAAGACAAAAACTGAACATATACATATACAATCAGGGACGTAGCTAAACTTTTAATCTAGCGGGTTCACAAATAAACATAAAGTTTATAAACTAACAATATAAAATAAAGTAACTTTTCTAGTAAGTTTTCGTAATATAATTTTATTAAGAAAGGTTCACATTGCAAGTGTTATCGACGAGTTCTCATCTTTTGGTGTTGCTGCATAATAACTTCATAATCGATGCTATTAAAAATATCCTTCTCAAGTGATGAAATAAAAGAAAAAGGATGATAGAATTTTAGGTTTATTTTGGATGGGGAATAGAATTTTTGTAGACTTGTATTATGCAATAGGGAATAAGGAAAAAAAAAAAAAAAAAAAAAATGAATTCGTAAAGATTCAACAAAAGTTAAGTTACAAGGATTTTTTAATATTATATTTTGTATTTAACTATTCGGTTATAATTTCCGCCATGTAAATTAGGAACCAAGTAATCAAATAGTTGTCAATTAAAGTTAAAGCTCAACGGAGTAATAAAAAAATGCCCAAAAATAAAAGACTATCAGGGGGAAAGATAGCTGCAAGTATGGGCACAAACACCGCAACAAAGTTCCAATCGTAGAAAGTTGCAGAAGAGTCGTGTATACAATTGTTTCAATCATAGAAAGTTGCAGAGGAGTCGTGTATACAATATTCATGCGAGCATATTTTATATGGATGAAGAGAAGACTAAATCATCTTTCCATGTATGATCTTCAGAAATACATACATGTTCTTTCTTAATTAGGAAATGGAAGAGGCAAAGATATCAATGGAAAGCTCCTTAACCGATACTGACAACCTATAGATCTGCTCAATGTAGAATAGAAAAATCAGTTTTTTTTTTTCATCATCAGAAATGAGGGTAAATGGAAGTTGGTGTCCTGAAAAAGATTATGAAAATGGGGAGGAGCACGAGACTAAGCAACTGGGTTTGCGTTGCTTTTCTTTTGGTCAAGCATCTCATAAAATTAGTTTAATCAATCACACTTAATCGGCTTTTGTGCCTGCTCTTAACCGGTAATTATTAATATAGGACCCGTTTAGTTCGTTGATTCGAGTTTTAATTCGAGTTAAAATGTAACTTTATATAAGAATTTTTACTGTAGTAAAAAAATTAAATGTGATTGTTTATGAGAACTTTTTACTGTAGAAAAACTCGAATTCTAAACTTAAATAAGCGAAATAAATGGATCCATCAATAAATATGGAATCTTGTTCATCATTTTATATGTAACCTTGAAACTTTAGAGGAAATTTGTCAAAGTAATTTCTAGTGTTTTTAAATTAATTTTGGAAGATTTGAACATCTTTGATCTCACCATAATTTCTATTTTCCAAAATGGTTTCAAGTTTTCAAACATTTCAAAATAATTTTTTTTTTCCTTTATAATTTTTTTTGTTCTTTTATATTAATTCTTTTTGAGACAACTCTCTGTCACATATTCCAGCAAGAATTCAGTACTTTAATTCAAATTTTCAAGCAAATCTCAACAAGTACTACATATACGTCACTGTTGGAGATCTTACTCTATCTTGTCTCTTAGCCAATTCCACAATACGTACATGTTATGATTCAGGAAAAATATTCAAGTACTATACAGTGATTTCTCAATAACCAAGTGAAAAAAGCTAAAAGATATATATTTTCTTTGTTTTTTTTTCCCCTGTAATTTTCTGTGGACAGTGTGAATTCTTCAAAGACATTAACGAAACATACAACCGAAATTACGTAAGATCAAATTTATTATTAAACTCAAACGTTGCTCTCACAACACAAACTATGTTTTTCCACACACCAAATAAAGGCAATAATTTCCGGGCCATGACATATGTCAATAAGTTTTAACAATTAATTACCCACACTCAACACCCAAATTTCTCCATCAAAACCTCTTATAACCAATTTATTTATAAAAAAAAATCAACATCAAATGACATAGACCCTTGTCCCCACAAATATTTCTGATTAACATTAAGAGTCAAAAAAGATGATAAGATGAACTCATTATATGCTTTAAACTTGCTAAAGATTGTTAACTAATATGCATGCTCATGTAGGATTCGACTCAACTCGCCTGACTATATATATATTGCATTTGTAGGTGGATCCAACAAAAATCAAAGGAAACCAACAAAGAAAAGCACTTAAAAAAAAAGATGAGATTTTTTTTTTTGGCCCATCCATCAAACATTACACTTAAATACAAGGTTTTTCTCTTTATGGTATACTATACACAAAATCATCGCCTATTTTGCTAATTATAAACCATACACTTGTTTATGTATCTTTTTCATTTCTTTGGCTGAACAAGAAAATTTTGTGTCTTTGCCTGCCTTAATATATTATTATTAAAAGTAATGGCCGACCCATTTTGGCGGTGGGTAATTCCTACATGAAGATATAGGATAAATTTCTTTTTTTTTTTTTTTTTCTTTTTTTTTTTATCAATATATATATATATATATATTTTTAAAATCTTATTTGTTGGAGTATGGATTCTCCAAGTGGGAAGTGGGCCCAAATGGGGTTTTGTCTGGTGGGTTTGGGGGCACTGCACGCCCTTCCATGCCCCATCGTTGGCTCTTTACTAGACCAGTCTTTGCCAGGACCACACTCCTCAACCCTCTATATAAACCAAACCCCAACTTCCCAAATTCTCAAACCCAAACTCATCATATTAATTACAAGTACTTTCTTCCTCAAAAGCTCAAATATCACTCACAAAGTTTACCAAAAAAAAAAAGAGAGAGAGAAGAAAAGTACTAATAGTTGTGAAAAAGAGTCATGAAGATGAGCAGTTCAGCCACTATGGGAGGATCCAAGAGAAGGCTTTCATCATCAAGTAGAGGACTTGGAGGAGTCCTTAGAGAGCAAAGAGCAAGGCTTTACATTATAAGGAGGTGTGTGGTCATGCTTCTTTGTTGGCATGATTAAAACCAAGTCCTCCTTCAAAAATTAGAAAAATATTCCAAGGAAAAAGGGCAAGGAGGATTATGTTTTTTTTTTTTTTTTTAGTTTTCTTTTTTGGGGTAAATTGTAAATAGAAGTTTGGCGGATATTATGGGAGAGAGTTCAAACAAAATTTTTGTACGGGATCGGCTGCTAGATGTACATCACCTGATAGCATGAATTAAAATCTCCATATTATATTATTCTTGAGCTACAATATTTATGTTTAGTTGATGTTTCTTATTCTTTTTTGTATATACATGTTTGCTTGTTCTTTCTTCTTTTCACACAAAATCTGATTTTTTATACTGAGTCACTATATGATCAATGTTTCAGTGATCAAAATAAAATGAGTATGTTCAAGGGAAACTGAGTTTCAACCATGGAGATTTCATGGTCTTTTTGTTTAATTTTTCTAATTAATTATCTACAATTCCTTGGTTTGAAAGTGTGGAGATTATGAGGAATTAGCCATCAATTGTTATAGATTTAAAGCCTGACTCTCAAGGTCAAAGCACCATATCCTTGGTTTAGTGTGTGTGTGTGTGTGTATTTTCTCTTTCCCATGTATTCTACTTAGACGAATCTTCTCACCATGTTTTGGGTTTAAAAAAAAAAAAAGAGAAGATCCATTGAGTGGAGAGAAAGAGAGGAACAAAATCCTCCTCATCAACAACAATGATTTTCCTTTTTACCAAACTGGCAGAAACAAGGCAAAAAGGTTAGGGAGATATTCATGTAATTATTTGTTTAACAAGGCAAATTAACTACCAAATTAAAGTCCTTTTATGTTTCTCCAAGATCTTTATTATTTTACAAGTTTAATCAAGACACATTTAGGGTCCGTTTAATTCGTTAATTCGAGTTTTTAATTCGAGTTGAGATATGATTTTCTGTTATAGTTTTTTACTGTAACAAAAAAGTTAGATGCAACTGTTTCTAAGAATTTTTTATTATAGTAAAACTTGAACTCTAAATTTGAATCGGTAAAATAAATTGAACTTTAATATGAGATTTCTTCTTTTTTTCCCTTTGGCTTTGAAGTAGATTGATGATTTCTAAAAGGGCAACTTAAAACCTGAATAAACAATGATTAATAAATATACGAAATCCTTGCACGGGGGGTTGAAAAAGTGCAAAATTTCAAAGTAGACATCTTTTTCAAAGTATTATATTACACTACACAACACAAGTTCTTGCAATTGGCAGCCAAGGATTCACTCAATGCCTTAAAATGTCCATATTATTTCTGTCTTTAAAGTATAATGATAATTAAGTTTTTTATTTTTTTATTTTATTTTATTTGTTAAGGGACAGGTCAAAGTTCAAGCCTAACCTTAAGAGGTACTTGCCAATAATAATTAAGTTGTATGATATAAGCTTATAATGAAAGTTCAAAAGAAAGAGATGATAGATTAAAGGTAAGGGCTCTAGGCCTTCCATAATTGGGGCAATCATGTATGACTAGCCTACAAATAGAGGACAGCTTAGGGGACTAATGGACCCTAAGCATCCATAATTGGTGCAATCATGTAGGACCCTTTATCATTTGAAGTGAAGATAAGATGGTTTCACTTTAACAAAAATCAAACTGTTAAAACCTGATCCTTAAAAAAAAAAAAAAAAAAAAAAAAAAAAAAAAAAAAAAAAAAAAAAAGTCTTTGGTGGGCAATGTCCAAAAAGTGCCAAGACACAAAATGCATTGTGACTACCACTTTGACTAGGTCTTTTAGGTGCGGTTTGTGAGGGAAAATTTGTTTCTAAAAACAAAAATCCTCAATATTAATAATATTCCCTTTCTATTGCTATCAATCCGTGTTGTGCCAAGTTTAAAGTTGTGAGAAACAGGTGTTTGGTTGGCCCCTCAGTATCTTATTTATCTTGGATTTGATTTTCTTGTCCCAAACCAAACAACATTAGGCTCATTTTATCTTAATATAATTTTAGGGCCTTGTCTTTAGCATGGGCATCACAAGTGAGCATCTAAACACACCCTTAGAGATGAGTATAATATTGCGAAACATCGTTAGTATCATTATTTTTAATAATATTAAAAGAATATTTTTATTTTTAAAGAAACTTTTTTAATACCTTGAAACTAATTTTTAAGACGTATAGTATTCAAAATGTCATTTTCATTAATTATATAGAAACTAACGACTTTAAAAATATTTTTTAAAAAATTTTTAATTTTTAAATGTTTTAAATTATTTTCATAATTTTTTTAAAAAATATTAATTTGTCATTAATTAGTGGGAGGGTAGAATAGACACTTTAGATTATCTCAAAGTACTGAAATAATTTTTGTTAAAAGTGAATATACTGTTTTAATACTGTAAAAACTATAAAATTTTAACCAGATGGTACTAAAATATTTTTTTTTTAGAGAGAGATGCATGTATGGTCAAAACTCTCTCTTGGGTTGAAACACTGAAATGCGACATATAAATATAATATAATGTATTATTTATTGCCTTCCAACCCACATTCACGTTGCCACGTGTGCAGCAGAGATGACTGCCCTATACGGCACAGTACTATTCCCATATGTCTGTTGTAGGGGAAAAAAAGGCAGCTTGAACTACTTTGCAATGCAAACAGAGGTGAAAGTAGTAACCATAAAAAATAAATAAACAAACCAGAGTATTTTGTATATTTGCCCCTCAACTTGTAGCGGTTTAGCAACTTATCCTGTAAATTTTTAATTTTATTAAGACCTGTTTATTATGCTGATTTAAGTTTTTAATTCGAGTTAAGATGTGACTTTATATGAGAACTTTTTACTGTAGCAAAAAAGTTAGATGTAACTATTGCTGAAAACTTTTTACTGTAATAAAACTCGAATCGGTCAAATGAATGAGGTCTTAATTTGTCTCTCTAAGTTGGAAAACAGTTACAATATGTCTCATCTTATCAATTTTACTCTTGGATTGAGAGTTGAAAATTTTATTGTGTTACAATATAAATTGAGATGTTGAGATTTTTTATCAAACATCATTTTTCGTCATTAATTTAACACAATCTCTCATCAAACACTACAACAAAAAGGGTTATTAACGACGACATTATTAGCGACGACATTTATCGTTGCTAAAATCACAGTATTAGCGACGATATGTCGTTGCTAAAAAGAATACAAAATTTTTGAACGACTTGTCATCGCATTCACTATTTGCGACGACATGTCGTTGCACAAAATTTCACTATTTGTGACGACATATCGTCGCAAAAATTTGACATATTATTCACGACGACATGTCATCGCTAATAGCCATTAGCGCCAAAACTAATCTGCCGCCAACAATTTTGGCGCCAATTTGTCCATTATTTGCGACAACATGTCGTCGCAAATATTGATTGTTACAGCTGGCGGTGACGTGGCAAAAAAAAAGGTAAAAAATTTGGTGGTTTTCCACGAATAGGTTCTAGATATTTCTTTATTTTTTGCGATGACACATTGAAAAGTCGTCGCAAAAAATTGTTCCAGAAAATTCTTTTCAGAACGACTGTTTTTGCGATAACAAGTGACGTCACAAAAAAGGGTTCAAAAAAATTCTATCAATGACGACTATTTTTTGCGACGACTTGTTTAATAATGTCGTCGCAAATAACTGCAAATTTAAATTTCACAAAAAAAAATTTCTATCAATGACATTTATTTTGGTTGTGGTTTGTGGTTTTGTTTTGGATTTTGAATATAGTTTATGGTTTTAGATTTAGAATTGTGAATTGTAAATTAGAATTGAAATTGAAATTTGTGGTAATTAGATTGAAATTTGTATGAAATTTGTTTGATGATAATTATGTGATGATGATTAAAAGTTAGGCGACCTATGGAAATATTAAGAAGTTAAAAATAATGAATTATATATGTGATGATTAAAAAATTTAGATGGAAATTTTAATTAGTATTATATTATTAATTAAAATTTTAAAAATAAATATTATAAAATAGTTAATAGAATGTTAAAGACATATTACAATATAATGTATGTTAATTTTTATAAAATTTGATAAAACTTTAAAACAGGTAATCATGTATGGCCCAGTCGCTACTTGTGCTGGCTCTTCAGGGGGAGCGCAGCCTCCACCTGATCATTATAGGTTGCCATCACATTGTAAGTCTGGTATGTTAGAACATAATTATAAATTTGTTAAATTAATTACATCAGTATTATATGATCACTAAATATATTTCATTCTACAGCACGCGATGCCGCACCTCGACGAAGTCGTAAGTATACTCGTTATGTTTAATTATATATTTTTTATTTAAATCGCATTATGTATTTAATTATTTTTCTTATAATATTTATAGCATCGGATGGAGGGAGAAAGAGAAACGCAGATCCAGACACAGTCTACTACTTTTAGATCATCCGCGGCATGAGCAGTTAACGAGGAGGATATTATGGAGCA